CCCAAACTGGTGCCCGCCGCCCCCCCCTTCCCCCATAGCCAGTATACATCCCCTACACAGCATTGCAGCCTGGTACTCTGTATATGGAATAATGCTTGCAAAAAGGTGAGCAGTCGTTGGTCAGCGTGGTCGCCTAAGCACAGTGACCAATGAGAAGTAGACAGAAGGGCGTGATCAGGTGACCATGCTGACCAATGACTGCTCACCAGTAATGCAAACTGTAATTACCCTTTACCAACCCATATACCAGTGGGAGTATTGATACAGTTTTTTTGTCAATGCATTCTGTAATGTTTTTATGTCTTATGTTGCTGTTTAATAGCTGGTGATCTTGCCAGTTCCTCTTGGTTCCCGTTTCAAGCTGACTACATCAAATACTGAAGCAGATCTGTGCTGGTGTGGTCAGTTTGCGTCCCTGGGATCACTGCCATGCCATCTATCGTAGTCAGATTGTTGCCGATATGCCCTCTTCCAGCCCTTCACATATCACAATGCGGAGGGGTGAGGTGCCACCAGAGCTCCAAGATCTCCCCATGACAGAATTAGCACAAATGACATACAGGAATTGTTGGGATGCTGGGCCGCCATCCTATGGTGCTGCAACAGCTCAGTAGCAGACATGTAAACATACTTCACCTTATCTTAGTGACAGGTTCACTTTAATAACAATGGCATGGGAGAGGAGCGTCGCCTTCTAGTTTACAAAACTCTTTTGTACCAGTGACTGACCTGTCGCGTCAGATCGATGGCGCAGGCCTGCGGGATAGTGCTGTACATCTGGCCCAACATCTCACACAACTGAGGAACCATGGGAGCAAAGTCGTCCAGAAGCGTCTTCACCGACTTCTCAAATATGGCGCACACTGCCTGCCACAGAAAATCTAGATGTTAGTCGCTTGGACATTAAAAAAAAATGCATTTGTGTATTTGTTTCATTTAAAAAGAAATTTGTTTTTATATACAACTAGAATAAGGACCACCTGACTCCGCCTTGGTGTCGGCTTCCTGTCACCCCTTTTACAGCAATGTCACACCCGGGAAAGGAGATCACATTAATGTATTCCTTAAAGTGTAACTCAAATCTGGCCCCAAAAATAAAAAGTGACACCCCACCCAAAAAAAAATGTTAAATGTATATATATATATTATATACTGAATAAAATGATTGTTTAGTCTAGGGCCGTGGTTCTCAACTGGTGGGTAGCCGCATGCCTTCCACTGCACTATTTGAGAGGCTCCTCAGCCTCCCCCCCCCCCCATCACGCCACTTTCCGTTCTCGT